CCCGGGAGGGAGCGGGACAGCCAGGCGGGGGCCGGAGAGCCCCCCCAGCCCCTGTTCTGCTTCAGGGAGGACCCAGGGGCACATGGCTGGGGTGATGGGCCAACAAGCACTGCAAGACGGGGGAGCTTGCCCCCCACGAGCAGGCAAGCCCCAAGCACAGCCCTGAGAACAGCGGGAGAAGGGGCAGCTTGGGGAGGAGCTTGGCCCAGAACCCAGTGCTGTTGCTTAGCGGGGCAAATTCCTGCCCAGCAGGATAGGGCAAAGGCCCCGCCGCGGTCCAGTGCCCCCCCGGGCCCAGTGCCCCCGGAACGGCTGCCCCCAGCCCCAGCAAGCAGCAGCACAGAGCCGCGGCTGTTGGAGCCCCTCGGGGCTGGCCCCCTCCCCAGCCATGCCCAGGGGTTTGCATGTGCACCGAGCCAAAGCATGGCTGGGAAACACATGAGCTGCCTTGGCTTTACCCCCTGTTCACAGGAGAGTTCAGCCCCACAGCTGACGGGTGTCTGGGAGCCCGGGTGCAGGGAAGGGGGTGCAGGACAGGCTGCACCTCCCCAGAGCGTACCAAGCCCCCGAGGGTCCTGCACCCTGCATTTGGGGGCAAGGGGGAATGGGGACGCACCCTGGGCCATTCCTCCATGCAGATTTGGCTACAGAGTTTTGTTCTCCAGCCAAAGCCTCGCAGTGATGCCAAGCCAATGCTATAAATCCTGCTTTGGAAACACACTTTTCAGCAAGAAGGTGATTTGCCAACAACCTCTCAGCCCCACTCTCGGCCTGTCCCTGGAAGCTGCTGGGTGCCAGGGAAGCTTGCGGGGAGTGGGGAGGCGGGCAGCGGGAGCCCCGGCCGGGTTGGAGGATGGGAAGGCTGCCCATAGCTGCCTGCAGGCATGGCTGACAGCACACAGACACCGAGAAAGCAGCCCAGGTGCCAGGAACACCCACGCACCCGCTTTAATCCCAGCCCCAAGGTGGCTGGAGGCAACTCAGAGCAGGGGGATGCGGGAGGGCTCCCAGAGGCACCGGGCCAAGTCGCAGGCCTGCTGGACCACAAGCTCGGAGGGGATGATGCCCAGGTGCACGGTCAGCAGCTCGTAGCACTTCACCACCTCTGCCTGGTGGTTCTTGCTGTAGTAACGCAGCAGCTTCCTGGGAAGGAGAAGACGGGGGGCTCAGCTGGTGCAGTGCAGCCTGGCACCCCCTTTCTAACCACCTTCCCCCTAGCAAGTCGCTGGCAAGGACAGCGCCCATCCACCAGCAGGACCACGGCACCAGGCTGGGGAGATGGGCTGTTGCAACCCCAGTGATACCACGGCACTGGTACCACCCTACAGCAACATCCCGGTGAGGACAGCATCACTCATGGGGACCCCCATGCCAGCACAGCCCTGGGCCCTGGTGCCAAACCGCAGGGCTGGGGCCTGCTCACCTGTAGTAGTCTCCTGCCAGCATCCCGATGGGAGCAGAATCATCGGAGAGAACCGGCACCTCCATCACTTCCAGCTTGTAGCCCTGGGGAGAGATGACAGCAGAGGGCAGGAGCACGGAGGGGACCGCCAAGGAGCCGGAGCCAGGTGGTGCCTACAGCCCTAGAAGGTGCCGGGGGGAAAGGGGCTCAGCCCCTTCTTTGCCCCACGTACCAGCTCGTTCTCAAACCAGAGGAAGTAGGAGCAGCAGTAGTCGCCATCCTGCAGCATGAGTGTCGTGTAGCCCTTCTGCAGGTATCGCCGGGCCAACGCAATCAGGGACCAGACCTGGGGAACAAGGGGCGCCTGAAGCCTGAGCAGAAAACCCTCCAACCATTGCCCCCTCCTGTGGTCTCCATCCCACCCCCAGCCCCATGAGCAGTACCTTCCTCTTGATGAAGGTGGCCAGGGGGCCCTTGCCCAGCTCCGAGCTGGACTTCTCTGTCATGCTGAGCGATGGTGCCATCATCTGCCCGGCCGTGCGGTCCACATAGATGAAGTGCACCAGGCCAGGAAAGTCCTCCAGGTACGTAAGGTGGGTTAAGGGTGTCCAACAACTTTGGTGCCCTTCCAGGACAGCCCCTGAGCCCTCGGGAAACCGCCTTTGCCCACCACACTCCTCCCCTTGAGCTGGTGCTGGGGGGGACAGGGTCCCACTCCCACCTCTGCTATCCCCTGGGGACCCTTCCTTGCCAGGCTGGGCTCGCAGCCGCAGGGACGGGTATGACACCATGGTGATATTGCGCCTGCTCTTCACCAGCAGAAAGTCCCGCCAGTCCAGCAGCTTCTCCCTGCCAAGAAGAGGCATGGTAAGAGGCCAGGACCCCCAAAGCCCTGGCACAGCCGGGTGTGGGGCAATCCACTGCCTCCCCTGGGGGATGCTGGCCGCCCCAATGGACTCACCTCATCAGCTTCTGGGCACGGTCCCGCAGCCCCTGGGACAGGCTGTGACCAGCGGAGGCCAGGAAGAGCTGGCGGTACACGGAGCAGAGCTGCCGCTTCACGTTGGCCACTGCCTGCAGCAGCCTGAGCCGGGAGACACGGATGGTGCAGTTTGGCCCCTGGGTCCCCAGCGCTGCAGGGACAGCCACACCACCCCGTGGGCTGGGAAAGGTCCCTGCCTGCCCCAGCGACTTTCCCTGGCCACCCCGTACTCACTCCAGGGAGCTCCCAGGCTCGCTCCGGGAAAATATCTTGTTCTTGAGGTCCACCCAGGTGTTCTGCAACTAGAGAGAGACAGGGCTCAGCTTCAGGCTGCAGGGACAGCAGGACAGGGTCCTTGTGTCCCCACTCCCACCTGGATGTCCTGCCCGCTCAGCTTCTTCACAAACTTATCCATGCGCTGCCGCAGCTCGGCCAGGAATGGGTAGGAACGTGGGGCTCCCGCCTCAGGTCCCTCTTCCAGCTTCCTCTCCAGCACCAAGAAACCATCCAGCAGCTGGTACAAGGTGACGGCCACCTGGGTCGTGGGGCCCTGCCAGGGTGGGGAGAGGTGGGTCAGCCAGGACCCAGCCCACCGCTGCCTCCCTCACCTTAGAGGCAGCTCACCTTGGTCAGGAGGACGAGGGAGATGCCCGGCCAGAGAGGGAGGCAGTGCATGGTGTGCGGCAGCAAGGGGCAGTAACCTTCCCGCAGGCTGGCGTCCAGGAAGATCCTTCTGGGGTTTGAAGCTTCAGGGACCAGAGGCCCCAAGGACTGGAGCAAGTCCTCTGCCATCTGGGGAGAAAGGGGAGATGCTCAGCCCCCTGTGGGGATGAGACAGCCCACACTGACCCAGGACGCTCTGAATGGACACAGCAATGCTCTGAAAGCTGCAACCGGGCATGACTGAACCGAGGGAGCTGGAGGGACCGTGCAGCAAAAGATCAGCAGCGAGGGAAGTGCCCAGGGACCCCAAAAGAGCAGCAGATAGAGGGGAAGCCACTTGCAAAGACACAGGTTGCAAACACCTTGCACCAAGGCCAGCACTTGCTCGCAGAGCGCGTGTAAGGCTTTGCAGCATCTGGCAGGGAAGCGGCCCAGAAAGCCCAGAGGCAGCAGAGGGAGACACCAGACTGCTCTGAGACAGCCCCGGCCCCTCTGTGCCGACAGCTCTGGACAGGGAGACCATAAGCAATGCCCCAGGGAGGGTGGTCAGAGCCCTCACAGGGTTATGCACAACATGGGGTGCATTCCCAGCCCTAGGGGCTGGGGCACCCACAGCCACAGCACAGCAAGGGACGAGTGATGAGAAGCAGAGACTGCAAAGAACACCAGGACAGGCTGAAGAGGTGCGGAGCCGAGAGGGACCACAAGACCCCTTGCTCACCTGGACATCTGCAGTGTCTGCCTCCCTGGTGCCCAGCATCTCAGCACCCTCCGACCAGCTCTCGCTGCCTGCAGGGAGCACGGCAGGTCGCCCTTCCCACCAGTCCCCCACGTAGCCCCAGAGCCTCCATGGGGCTGGGGGGCGCAGGGCAGGGCTGTTGCCCAGCCGGGCACTCACCCGTGCTGTGCCTGCCTGGCGAGGGCTCGGGCGTGTAGTAGACCTCAGGTGCAGAGAGATCATCTGTGTCCTGCCAGTGAGAACGGCTGGGTCAGAGATGAGAGCGATGCAGGCAGCCCAGCCAGCGTCCCACCCTGCAGCTCCCAATTGCAGGGACTCACCTGGTCATCTGAGTCCTTCTCTGCAGCTCCATGGGAGCCAGGGCCACTCACAGGGATGCTCTCGCTTCTTTTGGGTCCCTGTGGGAGCACGTCCCCTGCTGCAGGCTTCTGAAAAAAGGGAAAAAAATTAAGCCCTGGCTGCCAAGGCATCACCCCAAGGGGGCACCCCGACCCACTGCCCCCCACACCCTGCTCTGGAGCACCTGGGGGCCAAGCTCCTCCTCGACGCTCTGGCTGGGGTACAGGTCCTGCACCAGGAGGATGAGAATGAGCAGGTCAGCGGGGCGGATGGAGCTGGTGTTGCGGCTGCGGGCCAGAGAAGGGAAGGGTCAGCTGGGAGGGTGAGCGGCTGCCCTGGGGAGGGTGGTGGGGCTGGGGCTGGGTGTACCTGGAGTAGAAGGCCAGCAGCTTGGTGTGCACCAGGAGGAAAGCGTGGCCCACCTCGTCCCCGCCGCGCTCGGGGCTGGCGTTGATGTACTGCACCACCTGCCGCTCCAAGAACTCAATGCACTGCTCGCACAGCTGCGGGTGGATCAGCCGCTCCACAGCCTGGGGGGCGGGCGGGGGGAAGGCTGCTGAGCCCCCCAGACCCAGCCACGCAGCCTCGGGGGCAGGTCTGAGCCTCCACTGCTCCAGGGAGCTGCCCCGAAGTCCCTGGCCCAGAGCCCTTCCCCACATCCCGGGACTCCACGCAGTCTCAGACCCTTGGGACGCCCCAAAGGTGAGGGACGCCCCAGGGCACGGTACCTCCACTGCAAAGCTCTGGTCCTCCTCCCGCAGACGGCTGTAGGTCTCCAGCAGGCCCCGCAGAAGGCTCCAGACACGCTCCCGCTGCTCCGAATCGGCCGGCCGCAACCTGCAACGGCGGCAGAGCGTGAGCCGAGAGCCGGCTGTCACCTCCCCGGGGGGTCAGGCACCCCCAAACCCAGCTGCAGCCCGGCAGGCAGGGGATCCCGCTGCAAGGGGGGGGGTCCCAACTTGGAGACACCTGCTCCCACCCCCTGGGGCTGCATGAAGGCACCGCTTAGCAGCTGCCCCGGCACCCCTGCGTGCCAGCCCGTGCCAGCCGGCCGTGCCCACTCACTCCTTGCGGACGAGGTGGGAGTCGAGCGTGACGAGGCCGCAGTGAGCCTCCACCAAGCGCCGCAGCACGAAG